ACACTCTCATTTTTATGTGCACATATTATATATGTTCTATATAAATTGAGTTTTTGTCACATAAATTTTAAGGTATAAATTTAGTACACACTTCTTATGTGCAAGCCTATTCTCTTATATAAATTTTGTGTTCTTTCTATCATAAAATAATTATTTTTTTAATTTTTTTCTCTAAATTAAGGATTTAGTGATAATTTAAGTATTTACATATATTATCTTTAATAAAAAAGAAATAGATTTTTTGTAATATGATGATTAATTGAAGTAAATAAATTAATAATAATAAAGTTAAAATTCAAAAAAAAATATTTATCAACTTAAAAGATAAAAATTAATAATTAATTTGAGATAATTTTCATACAAAAAACAACAGGACTGAGGGATTACTAACAAAAGGATTTTAACATAGGAGTAATAAGATTAGTATGCATTCAAAGTTGTAGTACGTAATAACTAATAAGATGGATCATTAAAAAATAAAAACAAGAAGCTGTATTAAGATGGTGATTATATTTAAAGTTTCTACTTAATGAAATAAAGGGCAATGCTATGCTACCGGAAAATACTTGAGAAAACACATAGCCTGTGTAAATTTAGAAAAAGGGCTCTACATATCATTGGTGAAGTGAATGTCGAAATATGGTAACCACATCCTTCCACTTGCATTTCGGTCCAAAAATTGAAAAGTAAAACAGCTAAAAGTAATAAAGGAAAACGCTAGCGAGACCGACCCCTAGCAGGCCAATCAAGGCCGATATTGATGTGGCAAGTGACACTTGAAGAAGATTTTCTCTTTTTCCCCTTTTTTTAGGGTAAATTTGTTTTTTAGTCCTTATTTTTAATGATTTAAATTTATTTTAGTCCCCTTAGCCTTTTTAAGTTAAAAAAAAATTTTAAACTAATTTAGTTAAAATTTAAAATTTTTAAGATTTTGTGTTTAGGGTGTTAGGACTTAGTGTTTAAATTTTTTTAAGATTTAATATTTAAGGCAGTAAAACTTAAATTATTTAAGATTTATATTTTATGATGTTATTGTTTATATTTTTTAAGTTTTATAATTTATTACGTTAGAGTTTAAATTTTTTTAAATTTCATATTTGTAAGGATAGGTCCGAGGTAGTGTAAGGATAGGTCCGAGGTGCCCACCTCGGACGTACTAAATAATTCTTCAACAATCGAAGTGAAAAGTAAACCCAGCTGCATAATAGTTATTATGAACAGGCACGCACCTGATTTCTTATGACAGGCTGTACAATAG